GTTCCGGTAGAGTCGTAAATACATGGATCCTGAACATTTCAGTCAGTGAAGTGAATATAATTATCTTAATGCAAAATCTGTGCTTACCCCATTGTCCGAAAAGAAAACACTTTTGACTGTCTCGCCATCTGGCAAGGCTACGACATCTTCATTTTGGCAAATTTCATCCCTTTTGATGTTTTGTATGGTATACAGTAGCTTAGTATTACCATCCGCACCTACGGGACCATTCCCCAAAGTAAGAACATAGTCCCTCCAACTCGCGCAGGTAACCATAGGACTGCTCTTTTGCCTATATACTCTGAACGGTATTCCGAAAAGTGTATATATGCGTACGTAATTTTTGGTGGTAGTTACTGTGACAAAAGAATCGCTAAGTGCAATGGCACTCACTTCCTCATCTTTAGGAAGCTCTGTTTGCCATTCCACACGATTTGTACCACTAGTCCAGGATTCATGAGGGCGATATAATATCGTTGCTGGATGGCCATTGCCGAGAGGACAAGAGTAAAGAGAGCCATTCTCGTTCAGACAGGCTTTATCATACAGTAAATGATCTGTAAATCGAAAATCGCGGTAGGTTTCGCGATCGTAGAATTCTGCGCTGATTTGATGATAATCACCCTGGTCAATCGTCCAGATAAACCCAATAAGATTGAGACAAAGATACTTTCGGTCTCCCCGCCAGGGAGTACTACCTGGCTGAAATGACTCGTGATATTGTGGCTCCCATGATTGTGCATGTCTCTTATTCCTAGAGACCCCGTAAGAATCCACATCGTCTGCAGGTCTCTTACCATTACCATTCAACCCGAGTGCGTAACCAGCGCCATCATCATCGATAACAAAGTCATCTTCATCCCCCATGACATCAGAGCCTAGGATGTCATCCAAACTGTCGGGGGAGCCACGCCGGGCGCCTCGAAGGGGCATATCTTTTGTGCCATTTGTGTTAGGTTGTCGTGCATTATTTGATATTTCTGACAAGGGATCATGTACAAAAGGGGCTGGTTGGCGTCCTAATTTGACTAGATGAGCATGCTCACTGGGTACAAAATCTTGAAATATATAAACTTCTCCATCCGAATTCGTGAAAGAGAGCAGGTTATCTGTGGGATGCCAGGCTAAATCCATAACATTTGCATGGTCATAAGTAGCGATGATCTTTTGTGTTTTGGTCTCCCAAAGTAATATTTTTTTATCTTTTCCAGCCGATGCAAGCATTGCTCCGTTTGGCGACCAAGCTAATGCTGTGATATCTCCGGTATGACCATCTGCGAAGATACGCTGTTTCTCCCAGTCATTCTTGGACATGACTTGAATATCTCTTGTTGAGGTCGGCGCAGCGAATGCTCTGCCATCCGGATGCCATGCGACTTTTGAACTTATCTCATCATCCGTCTCAACGGCCCTAATAATTCCATCGATTGTCCTCACAAGCTCAGGATCCTCGTTTAACAACGAATAAACGTATATCATACCGTCCGTACATGATAGAGTTATAAAGTTATTGCTTGGATCGAAGGATACGTGCTTCACAGGCTTCTGCTGATCTCTGAGGTACATTGTATGGTTTACATCGTTTGTATTCACGATTTTGACGGTCAGTTCATCACTGGCAACGGCACACCATTTACCGTTCGGTGATATCGCAATGTCTCGGACCGGCAACGAACAGCGCATAAGGAATTTGTCGAATGACATCGTATCGAGGGAATATTTGCTAACAGTTCCATCTTCAGAACCCGCAACGAAAAAGTCATTCTTGAAGCTTAATTAGCATATATTCTTCACGGGGTTTCGGAGCCCTACTGTTGAATCAACTGCCATATTCTGCTCTTGACAGTCATCAATATTCGTAGGTTCTCCATCGGACCCAGTCTTGTATACTCTAATTGTATTATTTGAACCGATTGTGACCAATTTTGTTCCATTTGGGGTATACGATAGATACGTTGGCCCAGAAGTATGAGCCGGCCTGGGTCGTAGGTTAATCTGGGTTGTGGAAGCCATCTTAATTGAGTTGTCGCAGGCAAGATAGATTTCAGAACATTTGTTATGGATCAAAATGGGCCGCAATGAAGTTGTGAATATTGAATAGATTACGCGACTTGGATAAGGGAATCGCGTGTCAGCATAAATTCCACTTTACGCGTCGCTACCCCTGTAATTTAGGTATGTATGACTGAATTTCGAATGCCCATACCTATTGATGATGAACCCCCACTATTTTTGCTGTATCAATACAGACATATAGCATACAAACTTCTCCTTGATTATATTTTATATCAATCATGTCTCGATCAACAGATCCGGGTCATTTTTTCCAAACCGACGCATCTGAATCTACACGAGCACGCAGAGCTGCAAAGTCGGGCAACAAGAATGGAAACCCTATTGTTTTACAATCAAAGATTCTAAGCCTGATTTCAGACCCGTTTTCCTCCCAATGTATTTATATTGCGGAAAGTGCTGGCTGTGTACGAAAGGTCAATACTGAAGTAGGTACGATAATTATCTAAGGTTATGCCATATTCTAAGTATTTTCTAACCTCACTATTAGACTAGAGATACAAAAACAGTTTATCGAGGGCCAGCTGCGCCAGTTACTTCAGTAGCCATCGGAGGCCATGGTGGCAATACAGTTTATGCGGGATGTTGGGACAAACAAATTTGGAGTTGGGATAGGGAAAGTAAAGAACTGGGCAAGAAATTCAAGGGCCATTCAGACTTTGTCAAAGCAATTGTCTGCGTGAATATTGAGGGAACGGATGTAAGCTTCCTCGCCTTGATTGAGGTTAGGTGTGCGTACTGACACCCTTTCAAGTGTTTGATATCTGGTGGTGCTGATGCAAAAATCATGGTATGGAATACCGCCACTGGTGAACGATTGCATACCCTGCGAGATAAGAGTGAATCCATGATGGCAGTACAAGACCTAGCTCTAGACCCCGAAGATTCTACAAGCACCGAAGTTGTTCTCGTTTCTTCAAGTAGTGACCCCCATATTCGAAGATGGCGCATCAGCCTGTCATCTGCATCTCAAATACTTGACACTACCGAAGACGTTCCGGAACAGAGCAAGCCTACTAGAGATACGATCCTTGAGCACGAAACAAGCGTCTATCAAGTCATATTTGCTGGCGATGACGAAGAGACGGATTTGTGGACTGCAAGTGCCGATGGTACAGCTAAATGTTTATCAAGGACGAAGAATTGGAGCACAGAAGAAACGTACGAGCATGGAGACTATGTTCGTGCAGTAGCTGTCACTGATTCTTGGGTTGTGACTGCAGGTAGAGACGAAGATGTGAAAATCTGGGACAAGGCAACGGGGAAATTATGGCATATTTATGATGGCCATTATGAGGAAGTTACGGGTCTGGTGGTTCTTAAGGGCGAGAAGCAAGCCGTTAGTACCAGTATTGATGGTACCGTAAGAATTTGGGGACTCACTAAAGGGGAGCTCGAAAAGGCACGCCTCGAGAGCGAAGAGAATGCTAAAGGAGTCGTAAAGGAAGAGAAAGTCGGGCCTAAAAAGGGTCTAATGACTGCAGAAGAAGAAGCAGAGCTAGCAGAGCTATTAGACTCTGACGAGGACTAAATACAATTGAACGACCAAGTCAAATTTATCCGGTTAGTCGCTTGTTTAAAAAAAATCTCCGACTATATACTAAGTATTTCGGATAGCCAAGATCGGATGTCTCAAGTTCTGAAATCTCAGGCTATGTAATTTTTACTTTGGTGATACAAAGTGTATTTGGCAAGCTTGATAGCTAATTCTGTGTACTTTGATCCATATTGGTCAGCGAGCATATTGTTCCTCTACCACAATTGCAGTACCATCAGTACCTAGGCAATCATCATCGATTTTTCCTGGCATCAGGAGACAGCAGATGCAATGTTTCTTACTATCTGATGTGAAATAAATCATTTCGATATATCCAAAACTTCACACTATTGCATGATCATAGGGCTACACTTCCCCGTTAGCTATCTCATATCAACTTTACAATATTTTCTTTTTCACACTCCCCTGCGTCATAATATGCAAATAAGCTGTAAAACAGGTGGGCTACTGATGTACTCCGGATTTCTAATCCTTGCCCCTAGTCTCATTCTTTGAATCGATAAATAGTGTGAGACTGGACTCTTCCTCATTCAGTCAGTCAAATTGTAGCATTACTGGGGAGAACCTCCCCCAATTGAGCCAAGAAAACACTCGGTGTACGATTAGTGTCCTTTGCCCTTGTATTATGACCACTTAGACATTGACGCACGACCGAAAGTACCTCAGCAGAGTGAGTTAGTGAGGTACCTACCTAATAGGTGATAGGTAGTTTCTCGCTGTCTGTCCACTTTACTTTGTGTACCTGATGTGAAGCCCAAGTTGGATTGGAAGTCTGGATAGCAGTTGTCAGAAACCACACAGGGGATTGCAAATGATATATCAGTCACTAGGTAGTGAAAGTCCATCTGTATCGAATAAGCAAGCACAGCCGACGAAGATTTCGTGCGTGTAATATCCCACCAATACGGTCCGTTCCATCTAGTTTTGGTTGCGTGCCGATCCCATCTTTTAGCGCACGGAGTATTAGAAGCGATCTACCAATAATTAATGATTGGCCAATAACCATCCAAAATTTCAGGCTTTCAAACCTTAATCTACATCCTGGTGGAGATCAGTCGAGACTCAACTGGTACCAAAATGGAATCAAGATGGCTTCAAAGAGTCAAGAGGTATCTCCTCGGTATCACTTACGCCATTTAAACGCCGGACCCCTTATACTCTTGGTAGCGTGTGATTCCGTCCGGATGGTGGCAGTGGTAAGAGGTCTAGTGGCCTCCATGATCTCCGAATTCCAATTTATCACAGACTTTCATATCATTTTTTTTTTCCACCCGCTTAGCTGTCTCGTTTCCAACTCTTAACGGGGGAAATTGTGTACATCTCTTGTTCAATCGTGTCCATAAACTATTTGGTACTTCAGGTTTCCTGAATGAATGTGTGGCAACCATCATCCACGAAGGTGACCAATTCCAAGACTCATAATTCGATCTCCAAAATGACGCCAATAATCTCGGACGAGAACCTGAGTATTGGAAAGCTGGTTGCATTGGAGGGAAACATAAATACCATCACAACACAACTACGACTTCTCCCACACTCGCATATGATTCTCATCGTTGCGCCTCTCGATCATTATTTAAGTGAAGACTACAAACAAGAACCATTTGAAGCTCGAGCGTTTGTCCGTGATGTTTATATCGCTCTCGCACAACGAAACGAAGAAGCGAGGTCATTTCTACGATCATCACCTCAATCCAAATTGGTATTTCTGAATGGTGGTAGTGTTAGTGCTCGAGCAATATGCATTGCTAGAATCTCCCAAAGGCTCACGTATGGAAACTTCGCAGAAGCAGAGACTATCTTTCATAATATTGTCAAGGATGGAGTAGCAGGTCTTTTCAGAGATGTGAAGTCTTCAAATCTCGTTCCTGATCCAGGACCGGCAAAAGCAGCAGCGAGAACTCGCGCGAAGTTACCGAAGAGGTTGGATTTAAGAAGTACGAAAAGCGCAGCGACATTACGCACAAAGGACCTGCCAGGGCATGAGGACAATATTGAAGGGAAACGAATACATGGAGCCAATGGTCTGAGAAGTAGAGATGATAGTGGCCTTCAAATTATACATATTTCTGGAGAATCTAGAACAATTACACCAGAACCATCATCGTGGAAGTTCCAGAATGGTGATAATATCCGGACGACGATCCTTTCGATACCTCCTGAGCCCATGCTAAGTCAACCCAATAGAGCAGGCAGTCGACTTAGCCAGTACAGTGGCACATTCGGCCCTCAACCTCCATCAAGCTCGAAGCCTTCTTTTCCAGTGCCGAGAAGTAGATATTCAACGCAAGAAAATACGGACATTGACGAGGATGAGGATTACTTTGAATACATCTCACAAGACGACGAGACCTCATTTTCTACACCCAACGTTGTCTATGGTGAAGCATGTGTTGTGGATATGCAATCTGCTTTGCCAACACCTTCTACGCCTACGGGATGGCCTAAGTCGGCAGGGGATATGTTAGTGGACGACATCTTGGAAGATCTGAGGGAATTCAAACGTGCAGCATCAGCAAATGATCTTAGGAATACCTTAAATATATCGAGGAAAAGTTCCATTAGAGATTCAACTTTTAAGCAGTTGCCCAAAACGTCATTTGTAAAGGCCTCCAGAACTACGATCAGGAGCCCTTCGATTGCAAGCACTCCTATGTCAGGCAATTCGACGGGCTCAAGCTCAAAGAGTATACCCAGGATAACTAAGGGCAGTGGTTATAAGGTTAAGGAGGATTTCAGTTCAAATGGGCCGGTGTTCGATATCGTTGAGGATGTAGTAATTCATTTCACGGATAATTCGCCAAGAGAGATCATGCGATCGATATCAGAGTATAGAAGCGGCAATTTTCCAATCTCTCCACCGACTTTACCGCGACCATTACCCACGCCTCCCAGTACAGCGAATATGGCTGATGAAGGTTTGAATTCGAGACAGTTCACAAATCAAGAGATGGGTAAAAGCCATTGGGACTATCAACAGCGTGTCGAATCCGATCCATTCTTTTTGAGCGGGTCGCCTGTTCACGAGGAGATGGAGCAACGGAGGGCGTCAGAAAACGTTGACGTTGTGATCAACGAACCTCTACCAACGCCCGCATCAACTACGTTTCCTACTTACAAAAACAAGGTCGATGAGTTCTACGAATTTTCAGGCGCCTATACCAATAAGTCAATGGACATACAAAATGAATTCCGCTCCTTTTTAAATTTTCACTTCCCAAATGAGGCTGCAGCACTTAGCAAACATCAAAATTCGGTAATGTCTGGATTGGGTCCATTCTTAAAAGACATGTTTAGTAATGGTAATTCAACGTGTTACGAGGGACCCGCTGTTGATCAGATTCTTGCGGTTGGGTGCGAGAAGGGAATAAGTAATGTTTTATGTGCTCAACTACTTGGACAAGTTGAACAAATTGGTGTCAAGAAAAATGGCGAGAGCCGAAGTGGTAGAATAGATCTCAGGTATTTCGACTACCACCCTTGTGCCCTCTCATGAACTAACAAAAAGCAGATTTCTAATTGCAAGTGCCATGCAAACGTTCATGTCTCAACCACCTCCTGCGCGTAAAGGTTTAGATCCCATGAGCGATCCCAGATTGCTTGCCGATCTGATTGTTCCCCATCTCGAATTATATCTAGCTACGAACTCGCTCGTTCGATTCCTCGTTCTCAGTTTTCCATTTGATCAAATCGCAACCGTAATTGCTCTTCGCAGTCTCCTAGGCTCAGATCTTGTCAAAGTAGCTGGGGTTTTAGATACGCTTTCGTCCGATCCTCCTTCATTCGCCAAATCCTCTCTATCTCAATTTCATTCTTCGCATCGTTCATACGATTTCGCTATTTCTACGGCTCATCGACGTCCCGAGCTTTCAGATCGCAATGTCCTGAAATCCTCTTTCGACGTCTCCAAAGTAGCGGGTGCAGAAACAACACTTAATTGCCCTCCATCCTCCTACTCCCTCTTCTTCAAGGCAGACTATCATCTTCCTTCCACGGCCTCCTCCTTGGAGATACAAAATTTTCTAGACCTCATCCGGCAAAATATCGTTGAGAGATTATCCTGGTACAATGTCGAACAAGACTTTCCCCAACTCTCCCCAACATCCAGTTATACCGTCCTTACGCAAGACGCATCAACATCCACCTACGAAGAATTACCACGTGCAGATTCCAACACCCATATGCCCACATTAATCTTCCCCGAAGATTCTTATCGTACATCTTCCCTATACGACTCCCCCAGTGATTCCGAAATCGAGGTTCCACGTTCGCCAACGATACTATCTCCCTCATCTCCATACCCAAACAGCAATCGGCCAACGGGAAGAATACCATCGCTTGTGGGAGCAGATTCGACTTCTAGCGGGCATAGTGGTAGTGGTTCGACGATCCGTCATATCCCTATTGCGATTGAGCGACAATCCTTACTTTCCTCTGATCTCCATTCCCCTCTCCTAAAACTTTCTCTCTCACACTCGGAGTTTTCTCCTGATCCTCAATCCATCACCACGAACCAGATCAAAGAACCTCAACAACCCCATCAACAACAACACGACGACGAAGAAGACTTCGCATATGCCCTCCCCAACACCCCATCCTCTCCGCCATACCTCGATCATCCCCATTCCGCCCACCTTTCCATCGCCGATTCTCGCCTCTCTCTCGCGGACTCCCAACTCGACTACACGTACGAAGAAGACAGCGATGACGACGCCTACGATCGCATGGTCATGGGTTGTTATTCGCCCGTCGGCGCTCGGAGACGCAGCATGTTTTCTAATAATCATAATAATACTAGTGCTAATGCTCCATTCGGAGGCAGAAATGCGAGGGAAAGAGATGAGCTCGAGATGAGGGGATTGGTTCACAAGGGGAATAGTCGGAAGGCGTTGAAGTGGTTGGGTTTGGCTTGATTTGTTCGCTACTCTTCTTTGCTACATATTGTTTTGGAGTCGAGATGACTTTTTTGAATTTTTATGTATGATGTTGTATATTATTGTGTAATACTTGTTGTATATTTGGACATTCGAATTAATGTTTATGGCAAGTCTGTAGGAAAGGAAGGTGTATTGATGCTACATCTTATGGTAAATCACTATTATCATCGTCATTATCAGGAGAGCAGAGCCTGTATAATGGATTGCACATCATCGAATTCAACCCCACAAGTGAGCCACTCAGGAAATCAAGAGTGTTGTAAAGTAATTTGATTGATTATTATCCTCTACACTGCAGCTATACTACAAGAGGATTTCCCCTGCTCAAATGCCAAATGCCGAATGCCCTCCGAATAATAAAAGAAAAAAGCCAGTAATAGCCCCCCCTTTCCATCTCATAACTCATTTCTTTCATTATCTGGCACCTGCCTCCTATCATTCATGTCAATAGTCACAATTTATTTGATCTCCGTGCTACATCATTGTCGCATCATTCGCGACTAGCATCGTACAGGTTAAAATACAGAGGAGATTTAAGCACCCTCATCGTCATCAATGCGGATGGCACCCTCGCTGGCCAAACCATGGCTCCACCATCCCTCAACGGAAGTAGAAGAACTGCCGTCATGAGCGAACAAGAGCCAAAGACCAAAGACAGGCTTGGCCAAGACATCAAGGACAGCATAAGCAATAATCTCGGCATCAACCGACCAAGTGCGGGATCCGTCACCAATACCCCAGACGATTGGGTAAAGGGTCCAGATGATCAAAGTGTAACCTGCAATAGCAGCGAAGAGCCTCGAGGTCTTAGCATCCTTGCTTGAAACGGCACGACGTCCAGGTATGACAAGTTGATAGATGATGACCAAGAATGCGACGCATCCCATAGCATACCATCCCCACTTGGCAGCTCCATCGTTGTGATAGGCAGCAAAGAGACCAGTCAAAACCATGACGAGATCAGCAACGATGGTAACCAAGATGTTGGCACCATTGAGACCAGCAAGGAATGAAAGATCGAGGAGGAGAAGAGGAGTAGTCACACTCCAATCAACATAACGAGCCCAGAAAACTTGTCTGTAGACATGCTCAACAGTATCTGGTGTGTGCTTGTGAACTTCCCGTAGAACAATGTGTGTAAGAGAGTTTCCATCACCAATTGCCATTGCATAGTATGAGAGGGTGGCGAAAAGAGTGATGAATGCAGTAAGGACGTGGAAGAGGCGTTTTTGCTACAACACGACAGATTAGTAAAAATGATTGATTGCTGGAATCTGCGAGACACTTACAACTGGTACTCTCCAAGCCAAGTAGAAAAAGGTAAGGGTTGAGAGGAACATGATCACAAAGACAACCTAATAAAGTGATACCAATTAGCCAACAATGCTGCATACACTGGAATCATTTGATTGAGAAAACTTACCCATAATGTTGTCTGACCTGATTGACCAGCAACTTCATAAGTTGGAACATTAGGAACGACTGTTGGAATGGGGGCGACCGAGGAAGTAGCAGTCGCGGTGCTTGTTGGGACTGGGAGAAGAGAAGTGGTTTTCTTCATAATGTCCATCTCGAGGACTTGCATTGGATCAATCATGATGATTGAAGATTGATAGAATACTTGAATCTCTCGTGTGTGTGTGTATGTATGTATGTATGAATGGATGGATGGATTAAACTCCAAGAGTTAAATTGTATTGTGTTGTTGATGGAGATTGAAGAGGTGAAGAGACGAAGACGATTCGAATCCTTTTAAGAGGTTGGGAGAAAGAGATCGAATGACGAAGCTTGGAAGGAAAGAGGAGTAAGTAGGTAGTCGGTTCCTACTATTGCAGGCAAATAATAAGCTCTAGTTTTCTAGTTACCTACCTAGCAAGCGATCTAGAATATACCCCATTTGGGTTTGAGCATTGATTATTATAGTTTATTATAGTTTATTATAGTTAGATGATGCTTTGTGATTGGTTGATGAGGGGTGAGGGGTGAGGGGTGAAGGGTGAAGGGTGAAGGGTGAAGGAGGAGGGAGGGAGCATATCGAAAAGTACGATGCAGAATCCAGATTCACTTCACGCTCGATAGGACTACATCGTCCAATTCATTCAAATCAGGGAAAGAGCGGAACCAGAGCCAGCCAGAACCTAGTATCTAGCTTCCCTGATCAATTTATTATATTGGGATCAAGGAGCTGTGTGTGTGTGTGTGTGTGGGTGTGTGTGTGTGCATGTGCATGTGCATATATTTCAAAGGTAGCTATAAGAAGATGCCATCAGAAGAAAATGTGTGCTAGATACCTTTCAGCCCCTACCAAACCGTTTCGTCTCAGCCATGCAAATGAATGTAGAATGTCATCGTCGCATTCCTTTTGCCTCTCTTCTGCATCTTTCTTTGGATACATCTCTCTCTTGATAACATCTTCCATTCACACATTAGAATTGCTAATGGGAATGTTCGGAAGATACCTTGGTAGGTGTGCTCAGAAGGGAATCGCCAGATCGAGAGCTTGCCGCTTCAAACCCGTTCCTTTTTCTCTGGGGGTACAATATATACGAATGTAAGAAAACAAAACAAGGATGGTGATGACGTATTGATGTCATCGAATCATCGGAACATACATGGGAAGTGAGGAGTGAGGAGTGAATGGGGAATGGTGAAAGGTCTTTGTTGTTTGATTGGTTCATGGAGCTTGCTAAGTGTGTAAGGTCAAAGCTCTTCTTGGAAAGCTTTGAGACATTTGATCTGTTGTGCGTTGTGAGATGAGTGAGATGAGTGAGATGAGTGAAGTGAAGTAAAGTAAAGTAAAGGTGAAGTTTGAATTTCTAGGTAAGTGAAAAGGTACGATGGCCTACTTGGTCACATTGATACACCAAGGGATTTAGAACTATCTAGGTAATATTTCTATCAACCTGTGTAATACCGAAATTCATGATATGCATGTGCTACTTACATAATACATTACACAAGGATCAGCTCTTTATGCTTTTTTTCCTTTCCCCAGAATCATCACTCACACATCACTCACATCTCTTACATCTATCACCTCTCACATCTTTCACATCTTTCACATCTTTCACACCTCTCACACCTCACACCTCTCACACATCTCACACATCTCTCACCTCACACCTCTTACACATCTTTCACACTTCGCTTCCTTTTGACCATGGCAAATCGAACTTTCCCATGGAGGATCGGGAGGGTCTCATTAACTTCACCTTCGCATACAAGGCGGAGTATGGTTGCTTACATCACCTGACTGGGCATCTTTGATCCTCCGATCAAGTTTTATTGATTGATTTCTTTATTTACATCATACAATAAGTTATTTATTCCAGCTAGCTACCTAGGTAGGCAGTAGCAAGTTTTATATGCGCGGCCGGAGTACTAGCTCCGATCGTAACTTGGTCTTTGGTTTCAGAACGGATATCCCCGGTCCAACATATATTTAGGTAGTACTCGAGTAGGTAGGTAATTATTAATATCAAGTGCTTTGTGCGCTAATAAATATAACTATCAAAAGAATAACCTGCAAATCTTCCTGAGATGGATGTTTCCTGCCTCCAACTTTCTTCTCTTTGCAACCACTTGCATCCAATGCAAGATTACACTTGTTATTTGGTACACAATCATTCAAAGGAAGAAATTGAAGTATCAGGTATATCAAAATACGCTTTGCTCGGTCGCACATCATTTCTTTTTTAATTTGCTTTCCGCAAGCCATAGCTCGACGTCGAACAACCAGTCCCCTTCGTGGAGGATTCAACTGTGCGTGGGCTTGAGTGACTGATTGCATTGTGTGAGGTGAGCTGAAGTCACACCTGTTGCGACCATTTCTTGGTGCTGTTCTTCTCTCTCCAGATTCGGATTTATCATTATGCTGCCTGGCAACTCACCATCTCGGAGTCAGTACTCTCAACTCTGAATGAGAAATGTCAACTGTTCAATTCCAATTCTCACATTTGAGGAATCAATCGAATCGATCGAATCTAGAATCCTCAATCTTCATGCTTTCGTATTGGATTGTATCAATTTCAAGTTGAAATGTACTTCGGTGCTCTCCACGCGGTATCGGTATATGCATGTGTGGCATGTTATAAGGCTTGGGAGTACATGAGATTGTTACAGCACATGATCAATGATTTCGCAATTCCAGCTTCCTAGTGCAACGCACAAATGTCTATTCACATACACATATCACATGAATTTATCAAAATCTTCTTGCATAAACATTGACTTTATTGCGTCTGAGGGTGGTTGATTTCAAAGCTGTAATATTCTCTATAATACATTACACTGCCCGTCTCTTCTCTTCGAATTCCCCTACTATGTATTTCTAGGGGAACTCTAAAGTTCTCAATTCTTTGATATTTGAATCTCCTGAGCACTGAGATTTCGACACTATCGGTAAAGCACCTTTAAATCACAAATCAGTATTATGTTCCTCTTAAATATACCAAGATCCCAAAGTGCATGGAGATTTTCGAATCAGTTGAAGCCTTTAAGAACGATGTGGGCATATACCAACTTGGTCACCTGAAACTTCCCATACACTCCCCATACGCAAAAGATCAAATTCACCAGGCAAGATGCCTCGACCGCTTCCCAGGTTGCAAGAATCTTGATATCAGCAACATCTATGAACTGAAACCATTGAGTGCAAAAGATGAAGGTCCTCAAACAAATCCCGCCTGGGCAGTACTTATTCTACAAGAATCCTACATCAATATACCAAATTCTTAGGCATACGAGGATCCAGACCTCGAACTACAAATTACTCACGAGGCGGATATACACGAACGCCTCAAACATCGTCCACAACCAATCGTTTTCTCATACAAAGGATACTCAATGCCATCGGATGATCATCGGGTATTTCCAAACGATATGGATCAACACATCAACAAAAAATCAATCCATGTCATTTTAGCAAACGAATTGCTTCTTTATGGCCGCCTAGCATTTGATGATTCTACAAAACAATCTTTGCATGGAACACTCGGGGTATTATCCATCTTAGCTCATTGGGCATAGCTCACAACGAAATCAATTCCACAAACATCAAGCTCGAAGAGATTCTCACATCAGTTATAATCGATTTCGATAGTTACAGGATGATTAGAGAGTCAATTCTAAGAGGACAAGAATACATGGATGGCGTGATTCCGATGTAAGAGCTACGAGGGAAAAGAGTGATCTGGATTCCTAGAGAGAATTGCAAACTTGACCGATGGTAAGATTTCCTAAGGAATTTGTGTAAAAAAGGGTTTTAGGTGAATACAAAGAACTGCTTAATCTGAGTCGAATAGATAGAAGATCTAAGGAGTTTCTTTCAAATGGAGTGCTGGGAATGAGTGGATAGATATATTCATGGCTCTTTACTTGAGCTTTATCTTTTGAGAGATGTAGAGAAGGGGTTGGGAATTCATGCGAGAAGTCATCGTTTTTATTGTATAGGTAGAAAATTTACGTATACACGAATTAATTAATTCATGCCTCTTCTTCTTCTTCTTCTTGAAGTTTGAGAAGTTTGAGAAAATGAGAAAATGAGAAAATGAGATAGTTACCCCCTTTTAAGGAATCTTGAGAATGATGGATGGTGGGTTTGTGTGGTATGTAATTTGTGGTGTGTGGTATGTGGTGTGTGGTATCTTGTATGGTAGTTATGGATAGGATATTGAATATTGATATTGAATGAGAGAATGGGAGGATGGCAGGAGATAGTGTATACTGTTAGTTCTAAGTTATAAGTTTAGTTATCTATCTATATAATATACCTATATCTAGTTCTAACATAAAAGATTACTTCTTCTTACTAGATGTTCTTTCAGTGGAAGTGAGGATAGAGGCTCGAGAGGAAGAGGGTATGTGTATGTGTGCATACAGGTATGTCTAGATCCGAGATTTGAAACTGATGTATCTAGATTCTAGATATGAACTGGATAGATTCGCAGAGAGTTTCGAGATGAGATACAAGATTGGAATATTCTAATATAGTTTCTTTCACTTGTAATACTCAATGCTATTTAAACAATTTAGTTTATATATTCTATTGACCCCTATCCCGAATCTCCCATCTCTCATTTCTCCTCTGTATAATCATGGTTGAATCGGTCGAATGGGATGAACCTGGAGTCTTGAATCTGAGCTCCCATCTCTACTTTCAGAACCTGTATATCTGGAAGCCAGAAACCAGAAAACGAGCATCGGAAATCTGTTTATCAGATGTTATGATGAGGTCTACTAGATGTTCTACGTAATTAAGTTTCTTTGATTTGAATATTAAGCATATCTAGATACCTACCGGTATATAATATATTAATAGTATTTTCGCATTCGTTTCTATACTGGTTAGTACTCATCTTTATTATCTCTATAGGTATTTATATTCATCTTTATACTTATCTTTATACTTATCTTTATACACCTATCTTTATATACCTATTTTATATACCTATTTTTATATACCTATTTTTATATACCTATTTTATATACCTATTTTTATATACTTATTTTTATATATCTATTTTATATATCTATTTTATATATCTATTTTTTATACCTATCTATTTTTATATCCTATCTCTATTTATATACCTATCTTTATATTCAATATTATATCTATATTCATCTTTATACATTCATTACTCCCACTAAAAAGCAATAGAACAAATAAGAAAGAGGAGATGATAATAAAGGGAAGAAAAAGAAGGAGAATCAGTTATTATATTCTAACTTTCAGCTAATTGTTATCTATCTATGATTCCTCAATATACTTAATTACAAATCATCTCTCACTCTCTCTCTCTCTCTCTCTCTCTCTAACATACACACTCTTCACAATCACGCATTGCGCAATCAAAAAAATGCGAGAAAGAAGGATTACTCAAGAGAGGGTTTCTTTTTCTTTTCATTTCAACTCATTTTGATGCATTTGAGATTTGCTTGGATGGATGGGTGGTATACACTGTATCTCATCTCATCTACATCTACATCTACATCTATTCATCCTATAAACTCAATCCTATCTTCTTTCATTATACTACCATTACTCCTCCACTCTCATATTCTCCTCATCTCGTTTCATCATCTTTCATTATCCTCTCTTATCTCATCATCTCATCTTCTTTCATTTTCTCCCATTTTCTATTATCATCTTTTCTGTTTTCCTCTCCTCCTACATAAACCCATCTACCCACCTACCTATCTAATATCCATTATCTACTCCTCTTTCTCCTTTTTCCTCTTCCTCTCTCATTTCACATCCACATTCACATCCACAATCATCAACATCCATCCCATCCCATGCAAATAAGTAAAACCAGATTACACCAAAACCAGAATACATCAAAAGCAGAATACATCAAATTAAATCAAATCAAATTAAATTAAATTAATATTCCACACCTTTCTCACTCATCCCATGTAACGTTTTTAATATCCAATCCTATCCTATCCTATCCTATCCCATCCCATCCATCCATCCCCTGCCCACCAATCCCACCCCCAAAGTGCAGTACAGTGCAGCGCAAATAACAACAACAAAAAACTCCTTTTATGCATCGCAAGTAGCGATTAATTTAGCAAACAAACCAGCCACCATCCCTGCCTGCCTGGTAAATAACAAATCTCGCCTCCCTTATGTACCTGTGTATGCACTTCTTCGCTTGTTTCGTTTCAATTTTCTCCTGGTCTTTCTTTTAGTATGCAGCCACTCCATTTTTCCATCCAGTTATCCATTCCCACATCCTCTATTCTTCCATTCTTCATATCCAAGATTAGAATCAGAACATATATATCACAACCTCCCATCCCATTCCCATCTCCACCTCCACTTTCACTTTCACCCTACACCTCGCGATCCAACAATCCCCCCAACATCTCCAACGCCCTCTCACTCCCCCCACCACTCAACACCACTGCACCCGCCCGCGCCGTACTCAAATACGACAGTTCCCTTCCAAACATACATCCTCCCTCTTCATCCGGCCGATCATTCATGCGCATCTCATCGACCAGTTTCCCCGCAACGCCACACACAATCCCCGTACTTTCCAATGGTAAATCCACCAGATCGAGGAAAATCGGCACGAGATCCCCGTCTGTATCTCCTTGGATTGAGTTTCCAAAGAGAGGAAGCAGAGATTTATCGAGGAGGAGAGAAGAACCTTCTTCGAGAGAGATGGTGAGGGAGAGGAAAGTAGGTTGGTGGAGTAGCGCGGAGATGATGGAGATGTAGAGACGGGTGTTGAGTTTATCGAGGGGAGAAGAAGTATGCGTACCATTTCCATTACCGTTTGACATGGGACGATCTTCAATTTCGCGGTCGCGACCGGAACATTGGATGAGGTGGAGGCCGGGCTGTACGAAGGGTTTCACATTTCTCCTTTTGAGATGTTTGAAGGTGCGGGCTTGGAGTTCGGCGATATTGGAGGGGGGAGGAGTGGATGGCGGGTTGGAATTGGAACTTGGGCCTCGGGAGTGAGATGTTGGGGTTGGGACCACGTAGGCGGATTCTTCTTCGGAGAATTCGAATCCCCGGGAGAGAAGGGTTTGCCCAACTTTGTGGCGGTCTTTGGAGGGGACGAGGATGAAATCTGTAAAGTAGGTTGTGATGAAGAAAATGGGGACGCCGGCCATGGCTATTGATGGTATATTAGTATTTAGATGGGGTCAAGTATTTGGCGAGAGAATGAATAAGTGACATGGACTTACCGAGAGGAGAGGTAAGATCCATGACCCTTTGACCTGCATCAGTACCAGTACTGTCTACAGAGAAAACGATATAGCTATCCGTTGACACTTGAACCTGATTGTTTTCATCCTTAGGCAAAGTATCGATAATTGGTTGAAAGACACTTTCCGCCCAAGACTTATGACAAACAACTGAGCATTCGATTGGTGTTACACTAATATTGAGAAAACCATGTTCTTGATCAAACACTAGACTTTCTTCATCATCTTCATTCTCGGCTGCTGGGTCTGCTTCCTTATATGGTAGCAGAACTCTCAGGATTGGCTGCAACAGCAAAGAGTATAGAGGTAGTGGTATATGAATCAGGCTGAATTCGCCTTTCTGGTATAGATTAGTAATTGTTTGAAAAGTATGTGGATTACTTGGAGTGTCATTTTCATAGATTTTGAACAATTCCATGATAGCTACATTGACAAGAAGATGTAGATGGGAAGGAATGAAAGCGAGAACAATATTTATGTGAGAGCTTTGTTATTGTCTGAAGTTAATCTCGAACCTGATATCGGGACGAAGCTATTCTCAATCTTTGAGAGAGAAAGAGAGAGAGAGAGAGAGAGAGAGAGAGAGAGAGAGAGAGAAATAGCAACCACTCTCACCTCCCATCTCATGTGAATTTGAAAACGGGTGATGGTGGGTCTCGACTAAAGTACATCATAGCTTTGCATCGAGACACCATTCAGATGTATCCATCCTCCAGCGCCCCTATACAAGCGACAACCCGACAATAACATGCTAATTCCCACTCTCTGATGACTTTCCAATAACCGATTGAAGAAAAAAATTGACTCACAATAAATGATATTTGAGCATTCATAATGCTTTTCGTTTCTCTAGTTTTTGGCTTTCCTGCCGTTGGTATAATGCTAGGGATTTATGCAAGCCGACCCTCCTAGGCTACAGTACCTTGCAGCCACCCGAAGCAAGAGAACCAAAGCAAGACAACAAGACTTGGAAGTTTCGAATTTCTGAAAGAAACGTCTTCTTCAATCGAGGAAGTTTGTTTCGAATGGGCGAGGCTTCAAGTCAATTGGTTGATGTATTTGATGTTGGAAATTGAATGAAGAGAATATGTTCCGAGATGAAAATGAGATGATCAAAGGAGGCGCTTTCTCCAAAACACCAATCAACAGCGGGGTAATCTCTTCGAATCAATTGAGAAAGGGTCAGCAACTCAGATGATCCATCCACACACGCATCCCACTTCTTATATCGACGAAATCCCACGCGCAATAAGACAAATGCAAAACCTTTGTCTCAATTCAGCTGACGGTTGTCCAAAACCCAAAGTGTGAATTTCTCTGTTTGGGGGGTTGTTGGAGGGTTTTATTCTTTTCACAAAAAGATGGTAGTTATTCAGAGTCTCCAGGGTAGTATTGAGAGTGCTTAACTGGAAGCTCTACCTCCTGCATAAGCCACGAACGAAGCAACAAATGACAATGTGGGGGTACCTTCGGGCGATATAAATTTTGTTGTGAAGTGGTTCTTCTGCCCTTTTGCACTTTTTTAGCTGCAGAATTCCTGCAATCAACCGACCCAAAGGAAAGAGGGGCGGTTCAATATACAACACGAAACGTGGATTGGATTGGGTTGGATGGATGATAGGTGTGATGGGTATGAGTATGGTTGGTAGGTAGAGAAAAGTCCCAATCTTGCTTGCATACGTAGAGGGGCGGGGACTTGAAAGATGCTTTCCCGAGCGGAGAGTTTTCTTTGAACTGTACAAAGGTGGTATGAGGTCTAGGTGTATGAGATGTGCTAGGTATGTGAGGTGATGGTGTGTGGACGGTTGTATCCCAAGGGTATATGGGTAAGGTACTGACTGATGTGTGGGTTCTACAACGTCTTCCTTGGGTACTTTTGGTGTAACCGTGTTCCGCGGATTGGTGTTGGTATTGCGATAGAATGCGACGGGATATGCAAGATGGCTTGTCAAGGTTACTGGCGCCCTATGGAAAGGAAAAGAAAAACTCTTATATTGGCTTTTCCTGCAGCAATTGCCAGCTCAGATGGAATGCAAAAATGAGCAAAAGAGGAAATGGAGATGAATTGACGAATAGGATATCAAATTGAAGAAAAAGATGAAAATCGGTTCTCTTTGTTCTCATCGAGTCATCAGATAAGTTTTCCATAAGACGATAAGACTCATTCTTTCTATCATCGTGGACATTATCAAATGGAACGGATTGGAAAGAGTCGGAGAGTGGGATCGGTCCATAATCTTTTTGGTCCGTTGAGTCTTGGGTTGTTGATAAGGAAGACGTCGTACAAATGGCTTTATTAGTGACCTCGAATATTCTTTGTCCAATCTCCATATTTCCCAATTCCTACCGATTCATTCAGACATTCACAAATTGACTGTACTACTAATAAAGTGGGATGATTGGTCGAATTGAGGTGATAGAGATTAGATGGGACCAAAAGTTGTTACTCACTTGGGAGGAGTTAATTCAACCATGAGAAAGAAGTCTGGGAATCATGATACCCAACTACGTGACACAGAGTGACTAATAAGCTGATCACAAGGTTGAGAAAAGACCCAGGACACAGCTATCTCATGAATAGAACCACAGATCATGTGAATCCGGTTCCCACACACACCATACGCAAGCAAGCATGATGTCAATACAAACCCGTTTGAATAATGTTTTGCAGTGGGTGGGACACCTTGAGTATGAGTACGAAGTAGTACCCATGTATTAATAGACGATATACAGATGTTAGACGTACGCCTGTCTCAAAGTATTATAGTCTGGCGCACACAATATGGGGAACCACTACAGATAGGTCAAATCGCGGCCTAGATGATATCGTCACATTATTCGAGCAGACGAGATAATAATAATACCAAATACTGGTCACGGTATCACGACATTCAAATGATGAGGATATCCCCACTCTCCTTCTAGGACCGTCAATATACCACCGCCAAAGCCATCACAACATGCTCGAGTGTATTCGGATACGTGTATATTGGTGAAATGGGAATTGTACAACTCAGGATGAATATTACTGTTACTGCTGACAGTCTACCTATGAAAAAATGAATCTCGATTGCCACACATTGAAATCAAGAAAAGTCGAGTCTGATGACAAAGATCATCAGGATCTAAAACATGCTTGCTGACTGCGATACAAACTTCTACCTGTCACTTGGTGATCCTGAATCTTGATGTTGTTGTTGAGTGCCCGTGAAAAACCATGACTTAAACTTCTGACATGATTTTTTCTCTCAACGCAATTGCCGCCCCGCTGATAGATAGGGAAAACGAAGGCATTATGGTTTCATTTGTCCTCCCGACATCTTTGTCCCGGGAGTGAGACCGAAAGTCCTAGATTGGCTTGGTCATCGCCGCTGCCCGTATACATTATCTTGCGGCTTGACCAAACAGGTTTCTCAAGCGTCAGCTGTCAATAGGTAACATATCAAATGCTGAATAACATGATTTAGGTCTAGGTCACACTTGACTGTTATCATATCACTTGTCGCATTCCATTCTTACAATTCGGCTACAATCATGCGCATTGACCACTCACCGGTTAGATGCGGTGCAAAAGGAGACAATTCAAAATTGGGATTTTTTCTTTCATGATATAACAAATACATGCTATGATTTTGGTAGCAGGGTACTCCGCTTTTTGATGACGATGCGTGGGGGCTTCATATAACCAAAAAAATCCCCCCCCCCAATACATCGAACAGAAAATGAGATCCTAATCATGTGTGAAAACTTCATGAATCATGACCAACCTCCTCTACCCCTATAATTTCCTCTACCGCCCCTACCTTGCCCACCATAAGAATTGTTCCATCCTTTGTTGTAGCCTCTCCCCTGACCTCCCTGTACCGGCGGTTGCCAACCCGTAGGCCCAGTAGGATAACCACCGGGGGGTTGTTGAAAATTTGAAGAAACATTCGACATGGGAGGAGGTGGTGGCGGCCATTGTGGATTGACAGGGTTGAAAGGCATGTTTGGATAAAGCGGAGGCCCTGGGGGAGGAGGCGGTGGCCACGGCATTGAACCTTGATGTTGAGTGATGTTCGGAGGAAATCCTTGATTGAAACCTTGCTGGTACGGCTGGTACGGCATTGATGGGTTTGTGTATGTCTGATTTGAGGGGAAACCACTCTGTTGGGCAGGTATTGCGGCCATGTTGTAAGTCTCAGGTATTGGTGGATTGCCGTTCCCAATAGATTGATTGGGAGAGCCGCTCGAAGAATGACTTCTCTCGTTGTCGCCCGATGCGCCATAATCTTGTCGGATGCCCTTTGAAGGTGACCTGGAACGGCCATTATACTTGGAACGATCCTCGTGACCTGGGGATGGTGAGCGTGAAGAGCTGTATGAGCGTCGCTGTCGGCGACTCCTCTCTACGAAACTTCTGTCCGAGTCTTCTGATTCGCTATGGCGCCGTTTTCTCTGTGGGCTCAAGCTCTCACTTTGACTGTGTTGACCACGTTCACCCAATGGATCCAGTCCTTTGCGGCGTCTCTTCATCCTTTCACAGAACACCCTTGACCAACCATAATAACCCTCTCCGTCAAGTATCTCGCCAGTAATCTCATCTAGGATGATTGGCTGACCAAGTTCGTCCATATCAGACACACTCCTTTCGTCTTGGCCAGGTGCCGCGCCAAAAATTGTTTGAACATCGTCCAGGAGAGCTTTCACAGCAATAACAAGATTTTCATCCGCGGGTCCGGCAACAAACTGCAATGGTTTGACCATGTCTGGATTTATTGGTCTGGTGGAGTTCGGAACGATGTGCGGCATCAAATTTCCAGCAGGTAAATCGAACCAGGGCATCGACGTGTCTCCATGCGTTGCTGGCATAACAAATGGTGCCGACTTGTTCAACTTTGGCGCAAGACCTTGCTCTCCATTTTCTGCCGAGCCAGTCAATTCTTCAGTGAATTGACCGACTTCTGAAGCAATCTTTACTGCTTCGCGCAGCTTTCCGATGTATTCATTAGAGTAATACCCTCTCTCTTCCCATATGTTTAGTAGATCCTGAATCTTTTGCTGATGCTTTGGACAATCTTTGAATGAAGCGGTGCTTCCTAGTAGATTGACCAATACAGGCTGAATCTTGCCACAAACAGATGCATCGCTGATTCGGTACTTGCAGTGGTAGAGGATGTCGTTAAGAAGGTAGAGTATATGCATGCGCTTGCGCTTGATTGAAGGTTCGCCGTTTGAGGATTTGGTGAATGATGCCGTAAGGACTGTTAAATATTTTCCCAGCGCTGTAAATCTTGCTGCAGATTGTACAATATGTTCCAATATCCATTGCTTGCATTTCTATCCTCGGGCACGATTTAGTTATCGCATAACAACATCCTATAGAGTGTATGATCAAACCTGGATATTTATTGACGAGCATTGTAGTATGACGTTATTCAGATCGCTATGAAAATCTGCGATGGCTTCCCTAGAGACTGGTGTTGGATCGCGTCGAAGAAGACTTGCAGAGAACGAGGCTTTAGATATGGCAAGCTGATGCGACGCCATTGTTGAAAAGTCGTTCAAAGCAGACTCAATATGTATGTAAGAGCTTTGCCATTCGCGAATGAACTTATTGGGGTCTAAAGGAAGAGAATTGATCTGAGATGTGGTTGAGTTTGGGTGTGATTTTGATAATCTTGTTGAAGTGGGATGATTCAATGAAACTGAAATGAAGCTTCGCGACGGAAGGTCCAGATTCGCTAGAGCGTGCTAAGGGAACATGCTGGTTGATTACCGTTCGATAAATTCATCATCAATTGATGCAGCAAGCTCTTCATACCAATCACTTCCCCCTTATTATTTATTATTA